CTTTCCAGCTCTGGGTTTTGCCTCCCGTTCTTAGGCAGCCTGCTCTGCCCTGGAAGGATGCTGCTTCAGCTGGGAAAGGAACACGCTTCCTTATCCAGGCAGAAAGCTCTGGCTACCTTCTGGCCCTCAGCCCAGGCGGGTTGACATCCTGCAGGCTGGAAATAGGCAGAGGCAATCTTCACGTTTCTGTTGTTGTGCTGAAGGAGGCTGCTAAACAAGCCCTTTAATGTTAAATAAATAGGAGGGGGGATGCTCTGTCCACTTTAATGGGCCCCTAGCGGAAAGCCATCTATCGCGGCTCCCTGCCCTCTAGCAGATGGCACCCTGCGCTTGCAAAGCTTTGTCTTTTAGCAGCTGGGGAGGTGGCTAAAATAAGGAGAAGGGAGCTGCCTGAGCTAACAACCCTGTGCCTGACTCCCCTGCGGTGTCTGGGCTCTGCACCACTTCTTCAGCCCAAGGGGACGGGTGGCCGTGGCCGAGCAGCACCGGGTGCCTCTGCAAGGCAGGGGAGCGAGGGTTTGCACTGTGCTGTCCCTCACGGGATGTTTTTTGGGGGGCCTTGGTGCATTGGCCACCCTGAAAGGCAGCAGCAGTCCCTGCCACGGGAAGGCTTGAGCCACCGAGGGGGTGGCCAGGGCAGGTTTCCCTGGCCCACTTGGCTCTAGCTTGGGATGATGCTTTGGAAGAGGCTTCTACTGCTATTTTGAAACACATCAGGCTGGACTTAACTTCAGGAGGAAACAACGCTTTAAAGGCAAGTCCTGTTTTCCTGGGGTGGATTTTTGGGTCCCTACCCACCCTCCCCCTTAAATGCTGCTTTGCCTTTGTGAAGGGAAGGACAGCCCCTGTCCTGGTACAGGACAGAGCTGTGTCCCAGGTGCAGCTGGGTGGCCTTTGCAAGGGCAAGCCCCTGTGGCCAGACTGTGACTCAGAAGGAGGATCCCTACTCCACAAGTACTGATGTAGATAGTTTTAAGCTGTTGTTCAAAAGAAACTTGCGGTAGCTCTCTTTGTGCAGCTTCCTGTCTTGTTGAAATTAAAGTTTTCTTTGGGAAAAAAAAAAAAGTGTTGATTTTTTTTTTTTAGCCATCATTTCTTTTATGCTGGTAATTGCTGCTATGCCACAAGTTACAAGCCCTCAGGTCAGATGAAACGCAGATGCTTTCAGCCCAGAAGGCAGAAGGCCAACCCTACCCTGGGCTGCATCTCCAGCAGCGTGGCCAGCAGGTCGAGGGGGGGGATTCTGCTCTGCTCTGGGGAGACCCCCCCTGCAGTGCTGCGTCCCGCTCGG